ACACTATAAATTAAAAACTTTTAAATGCTACAAGTGAACTAAGGCATCACAAAAGTACAGCATGGAAATGGATAGTGAGAATTGTATTAGATGACATAAAAGTCATATAAATGAAATATGGGAAATCATTTTAAACAACCTGAAAACTAGAAAAAAAGAAACTTCAATCATCTTGGACCTTCAAGAAACTTGGAGCAATAAACTAAGCTTGTCTCAGCTAAGTGGGTTCATGAAACGACCCAAACTGTGACTCTCCGCAGGGACACCATGAACAAAATGCTAGCAATAAACTTCAAGCCTTGATATTGTTTTACAGTCCTTTGAAACGGCCCGAGCAGCCAGCGGTGGGACTCAACTCAGCACTTCTGCTGACACAGACATATGTCTAGTCCCTTTCAATGCTTCAGAGAGAGCTTAATTCAATCATTGTCTTATTGATCCTGGCCTACTGTAACAGTTTCTGTGTTTAGAAGTCTAAGCATTATTGAACATGCAATGACTTCAACAGTTTCCTACATAATATCTGACAGCAACTAACAATATTTCTTATTCCGTATATAAAAGTGTGTGTGACCCATAGGAAAGAAAAATCACTAATGAGATCTCTTTAATATCTCATAGACAACAATAATGGTGACTTTCTCAAGCTTTTATTATGAAATAAAAAACATTTCTCCTTAAATTCTTCCAAGAAGATTTGAGCTTTGACATTTACATTAATTCTATAGCTCTATACTCTTTCTGCATGTCAACAACTGTATCATTTCTATCAATTTTTAATCCTATTTAATTGTTATAAAATTCACAGCAAAACCATTTTTGATTTTCATTACACAGTATAAAAAAAATGGAATTAAATGGATTAAAAGTGCTTTATCACATCACACACACTGGCTGGGCACAACCATTTATCAGACCAACAGGCGATTTATAACAGGCAAAGTAATTTTACAAGAATATACAATTTCAGTCTTTCTACTTCAAAATTTCACGTTTAATTCAATGTGTTACTTGCCATTTCTTTGTAATTATTTGTGAAATGTACTAGCCATTTCTGAGTGAAAATTGTTTCGACACCATTTTTTGTCAGGTTTAGAGAACGTTCCCATAAAATAAAAGATATGTATTCAGATTGCTTTATGGCAGTCTGAAAAGTACTTTCTCAAATGACGTACTTCATCATAAGGTACAGTTAAAAAAAAACTGCTAGTGAAATCCCTCACATTTACAGTCAGAGGGTGAAGCTCCCTTGGGAAGCAGGTGTGCTTCAATATTGTCATTTCCACAGCGCCACATTCAGATCTGTTTCATCAACACACATGCCTAATTACATGGCATGTGTGAAGTCATTATAAAACACCTCAGCAGCCTAGGGATTCTCTCATACTCAAGCAATCTAACAGAGCTTTAGCTCTGTAATTACAAGAAAACGGAAAGAAAAAACGAAATAGGGATTTTTTTTTCACATCTACAGTACCTATGTGGGTGTATAGCACCACCCCCAAACCACACATAGCTTCCTGCAGTAAATATCAGACCATCAATAAGGGAATAGACCTTATTCACAGCAGTGCCATCTTTGATTTTTGAGGGGAAGTGAGGGATAGACAGACATATTTTTAGTGGGTTGTCCTGTTATTTAATGTGTTTTTTTAATTGTTCTGCTGACGAAACACTGCAAAAATGTCTTTCCAAGAAATTTCAGTAGACAAAAAAATGGAAAATTATAAGTGATCTAGGAGCCATTAAAAACATGTTAAGTCTATCCCTCACAGACTCGCTTTCATACCTGTGATGACGCTGCTCTGAATAAGGTCTATAGCGGTGCCTACTCTCCTCTCTGGAGAAAGAACACCACAAAGCCGCTGAAAGCTCCCACCAGGCGCTCTGTCTGCACAGACAAGCAGTTGCCTTTCTCCTCTGCTATTCGCTATACAATATCTCAATAGGAGCATCAGTCGTAACAGAGGAAGGTCTATAAATATCGGGGCGGATGGAGCCGATACCTGCCTACAGCTCTTTATGAGCCACCGGTGGTCACCATTAAAGTTACTGACCCCCAGACATCATGGCTGATAAGGTACAGTATACCAGCCTCGCAAAAGAAACACTCTCGCTTACAGCACGTCACGCTACAACTTGAGATATAACGTGCAAAAAGCATGTTATCAGTAACAAAACAATGTTGTCTGATTAAAACGTGCAGTGCATTTTGGTAGTTGCCAAATAACTTTCATCAACACGTCAACTATATTTATGGAAGCATATTTGTATTGGTAACTGACATTAAAATACTTTTGGGAATTCCTGTGGTGTGACATTCTTTATTTATAATTATAATTATAATTATTAAATAGTTTAGATTAATTGAGCATCTAAAACTATTTTAAAAAGATTTTGCTCATTTTTTAATAATAATAATAAAATAACAATACTACATTTGTAATTATTATTTTATAATAAGCTTTGTTAATCATTATAATTATGTGTTTATATATACATGTGTGTGTATATACACTCACCTAAAGGATTATTAGGAACACCTGTTCAATTTCTCATTAATGCAATTATCTAATCAACCAATCACATGGCAGTTGCTTCAATGCATTTAGGGGTGTGGTCCTGGTCAAGACAATCTCCTGAACTCCAAACTGAATGTCAGAATGGGAAAGAAAGGTGATTTAAGCAATTTTGAGCGTGGCATGGTTGTTGGTGCCAGACGGGCCGGTCTGAGTATTTCACAATCTGCTCAGTTACTGGGATTTTCACGCACAACCATTTCTAGGGTTTACAAAGAATGGTGTGAAAAGGGAAAAACATCCAGTATGTGGCAGTCCTGTGGGCGAAAATGCCTTGTTGATGCTAGAGGTCAGAGGAGAATGGGCCGACTGATTCAAGCTGATAGAAGAGCAACTTTGACTGAAATAACCTCTCGTTACAACCGAGGTATGCAGCAAAGCATTTGTGAAGCCACAACACGCACAACCTTGAGGCGGATGGGCTACAACAGCAGAAGACCCCACCGGGTACCACTCATCTCCACTACAAATAGGAAAAAGAGGCTACAATTTGCAAGAGCTCACCAAAATTGGACAGTTGAAGACTGGAAAAATGTTGCCTGGTCTGATGAGTCTCGATTTCTGTTGAGACATTAAGATGGTAGAGTCAGAATTTGGCGTAAACAGAATGAGAACATGGATCCATCATGCCTTGTTACCACTGTGCAGGCTGGTGGTGGTGGTGTAATGGTGTGGGGGATGTTTTCTTGGGACACTTTAGGCCCCTTAGTGCCAATTGGGCATCGTTTAAATGCCACGGCCTACCTGAGCATTGTTTCTGACCATGTCCATCCCTTTATGGCCACCATGTACCCATCCTCTGATGGCTACTTCCAGCAGGATAATGCACCATGTCACAAAGCTTGAATCATTTCAAATTGGTTTCTTGAACATGACAATGAGTTCACTGTACTAAAATGGCCCCCACAGTCACCAGATCTCAACCCAATAGAGCATCTTTGGGATGTGGTGGAACGGGAGCTTCGTGCCCTGGATGTGCATCTCACAAATCTCCATCAACTGCAAGATGCTATCCTATCAATATGGGCCAACATTTCTAAAGAATGCTTTCAGCACCTTGTTGAATCAATGCCACATAGAATTAAGGCAGTTCTGAAGGCGAAAGGGGGTCAAAGACCGTATTAGTATGGTGTTCCTAATAATCCTTTAGGTGAGTGTATATATATATAATAATTTGTATTATTTAATTTTTATTTTTAAAACATTATATTGTATTACTTTATCTATTAGCATTATATTACTACAAATAGAAATGTATATCATATAATAATAATAATATACAATTAATATTTTTATTTGAATAACATCTTTAATACATCAAATGCCTATAATACATTTCAAATGTAGATAATACATAATTGTAGATAATACATAATTACGATGACCTTTTTTGAGCTCATATTAATTGAGAAAGTACATGGACTATTTGTACTATTTGTATAAAAATGTATTTGTCTCACAGCAGGACCATTACAAATGAAGGAGTGAAGGCAAAAAAGATGTTTAAAATAATGAATTAATTAAGAGACTCATTAAATATGTATATAAGGTGGTCAAAAGGTGAAAAACTTGAAAAGTGTGTGTGTGTGTGTGTGTGTGTGTGTGGGAGGGGGGGGGGGGGGTTATATATAAAAAAGCAGGCTCTGATATTACTGGTTCACATTTTTCCTTGCCCCGGCGGCGTTGGTTACATCAACAGAAAACAAATATCTTTTTGTTAGAAATCGAAGGGTGTTACAGTTAGATTATGAAAACAAAATAACGTGGACTGATCATCAAGCAGTAAACAGGGTCAATTTTAATTTCATGTTGCGTTGGGGGAAAAAAACATGTTTGAAATTAGATTTCACTGTATGAGAATGAAAGCCGAGGGAGAGTATTGTAGAGCCTTGTAATCAGAGAATTGCTGAATCCACGTTGGAGGGGGTTCACTTCACTATTGCATTAGAGACGCTGATTGTGGAAGGGGGGAGTAGAAGCAGGTGTCGCAAGTAATGGAAGAGATAAAGAATAAAGACTCGAAGGAAGGCAGCATGCTGAGCTCCTATTAACAACCCGCATTCAAGCAATATCAGCACTGGAGCTCGGCCAAACTGCTTGATGCTTCTCATACTCTGAAGCATTTCCTGAACTGATATTTACAGACTTGCTGTAATCAACTAGTTTTCTTTTAAACAGACAAAAACAAATACTGCACCGACGACCGCCAAATTTTCCACACTCTAAAGCAGAGCTTCTCATCCTTGGTAACAGTCAATTATATAGTCTAGCTGTCAGTGTACACTAATATTTAATCGCAGAACTCCACGTTCGACCAATCAGAAGAGAGATATAAAGGACCGTAAGTATATATTTAATACCAGAAGGTCGCGATCACAAGCACAGCAAAAGCAAAGAAAAGCCCTGTAAAGGATTACTCACAGCCAGGATAATCTGCAAGGAACTGTGGGCCACCTCCACATACTGGTACTCCAGCAGGCAGCCGGCGATGCTGATGTAGCGATGGTCCTCCGGGGCCCAGGAGGGAGGAGGGGTCACGGGGGTCACCCTGCACCCCGGGCCGTTCTCCATCCACCAGGTGCGATGCATGGAGATGTTAAAGGTCATAATCAGGTCTGTGTCCTGCAGGAGAGAAAAATGAGTCATAAGAGATGCTACACCAACGTTCAATTGAAATTTAAACACTCTATATGCTTCTGTGTCACCATACAAAAGTAGAATGGCACCAGAGATATGAGTATATTTAGAACAAATGCCAAAGATCATCCTCCAAGCGCTTGCTTTTACGGTAAAGTTAGTCCATTTCCCGGCAATCAAATAATTTCAATTATGTATTCAAGCTTACAAGATGTAATACTCTGAACGCAGACTTATTTAACAATGTAGGTCAAATAACAAGCACTCTGGAATATTTCAATCATGCTAAATCCAGTCCACTCTTGTTTAATGGCGGCTAAGAGAGGGATGGATTTCTGAAATGCATGATTTCATTCATTAGTTTATATTAAAACGTTCATATATTCTGGCTTGCGATCATGGTAATACTTACACCCATGACTTACAAAGTCAGACATTGCCTCACACTGGAAATAGGATCTCTAGGAGCCAGTGAAGGGTTTGTGTTTTGTTGTATCATTAATCAGTTTCAAGCTTTTAACATTTTGAGGCACAATTATGTAAGTGGCTCTTATGTGGTTAATTTCGAGACGTCAAAGCGACTCGCAGAGCAATAACCAGTCAACACATACTTTTAAATGTGGCATGAGATTAATTCCACAATCAAGTGGTGAAAGAAATCACATTTCTCAAATACCAAATTCACTTTTGTGCGCCATTTTTCAGTCCGCACGCTGGCGACTGAAGTGTTTGCAATATCCTGGGTCATTTGAGTGAATGCCAGTTACACAAGCGGAGGACTATTCACCAGGGCTTTGCCTTTGAGCATGCAATGAGAACATATTCAAACAAATCCATCAGTCTTAAGAAACACACGCAAAGCCTACACAAAGCAGAAAGAAAGAGACAGAGCTCTTACTCTAACACCTACAGATGCACAGCTGCATAAATGTGTTGCACACGCCGAATGCCCCAAGAAATCCCTCTAAAGAGCAGCGATTGTGCATTTTAAAGACAGATTTTAGGTCCTACAAGTGTTGAAGCTTAGCACTGAGCATACCATTCATGTAGGAACCTCCTGTAATTTTCCTCCAGAGGGAAAACAACAACAACAGCAAATAAGAGTATAGTTCTTAAGAAGCGCTTAAAGGAATAAAAATGAGAATTTTGTGACGTTTAATCCACGTCTTTCAGCTTTGAGGCCATCTACATGCTAGTGCACTCCTAAAAACTGACAATACGAAACTTAAGATTTTTGCATTTGCAGTTTACCGTAGTCTTTCTCTTCCATTTTGATGACTCATGTTGCAGAATGTTCATGTTTGAACAGACTCTTGTCCAATCCGTGCTCCAATCATATGAGATGACTGACCCTTTTTCTATAGAAAGGCAGCTATACTGTATATATGCACTACCAGGGCCGTAGCTAGAGGATTCGGGGCCCCCTGAAAAAATATTGATGTGGGCCCCCACCACCCTCCACCAATATCATATACTGTACAATAGATGGACATGGAGGCCCACATAACAGAAGATGGTGATGTTGTTGTAAAACCTTTATTTTAAAAGTTAAATGTTTATATAAAAATTACAACTAATAAAAACTAACAAAAAAGCAAGAAATTGTTAAATAATAATAAAACCAATTTTTAAAAAGTAATATTTTTTTCCCCCATCAGTCTGTTATAATTCATAAATCAAAAAGTAAACATTTAGAAATTGACAAGAATGCAGTCTAATTCAAAAAATAAAACCATTTATTGTCTTATTTTTTAATAAAGATAATATGGAACTGGTAATATTATTAAATAAAGCGAATACATTTATTCATCCAAGTGCAGTCTGTTGTATTCGTGTTTTCTCGATGTTTTAAATATCATCAGCCGGCAGGTCAGATGCATAATGCAATGCGTCGTGACTCGTGTAATTTTTTTAAAACTCTATTTACAAAAGTGTAAAAAGACAGGAATTTAGACCACGTAATCATTCGGTCGATTGTGGCGCGCACCGATAATAAAAAATGACTGTACACGGCAGACTGTAGACGGAAGTTATCTTCAGGCTGCCGCCTCAACTCTGATTGGTTCTGTTCACGAGCTGGGGCGGGACTTACAATTTTATTGGGTCCATCTGATGTTTGTCACTGACTCTGACTGAATAATTAATAAATACTTTAGGTCGGACTAAACCATTTTTATGGAGGTAAGAGAAGCAGATATTTGGAAAAATATTTACCCAAATTGCACGTTTTTGTGGTTTTCATTTAAATCTCAGGCATACAACTAATATAAATATTAGAATTATTCATACAACAGGGGCCTAAATAGTATAACTGCTGGATTTTGTATATATAATTGTATACTGCTATAATTGTCACCACCTTTCACCCCACTAGCGACGGCCCTGTGCACTACCAATCAAAAGTTTTGCAGCCAGAAACAAAATAAACGGCATAAACAGCATATAATATTTTTTAATGTTTTACTTTCATATGACCAGCCAGTCCAAACTTAAATTCGTCAAATCAAAAAAAAAAAAAAAAACCTGATTATATAGATTTTTAAGAACAAAAGGAAATAACTACCAAATATCCATGCTAACAAAAGTGTCTCTTTAGCATTTGTCGAAAAGTGTTGCCTCCAGTGTTTTCTGAGGCAGAGTGAATCATCCGAGGGCCCCAAGTCACAGTCCCCATTATGTTTTCTTAAAGGCCGCTGGAGGATCAATCACTCACCCGCCTCCGTAAATGGCCTCACTGTTTGCCCAGCCAGTGTGGGTGATGTGATAAAGCACTTTTAATCCATTTCAAAACGCACACTAACGGCAGACATTTTTGTTGAAGACTTGCCCAACCTCACACTGCAGTGTCTATCTCAGCGTGAGAATGACATTGGCCATCTGAAAGGCTCCTGAATTACTCTCCCTGAATAAGCCCTGTTCCTCCTTAGAGGGATAGCACTTCTCGTTCTGTGGAATACAAACCGAGGCCTCAGTGCACCCTTGCTTCTTATTAAAACATATACAAAAAGCCTGAATGGTTGGATTGATTTGTTTCCACCGAATCAATACCACTTTTACAGCAGTGCAGGGCAAAGCCTTGTTTGTCTACAGAAACACATGTATCACGCTCCAATGACGGACATAAATAGCCATCATGATGCAAAAAGTGAATCACAGCTTTGACTGAATGCGGTATCATCTAAGCACACAAAGTACACAAACACCTCTGGCTTCAAACGTTTTAAAGGAACTAATTGCTAAACATATTTAGCATATTTAAACTTTAAAAATGTATAATCTTTTTGTACAATGTAATTTTATTTATTTTTTTACAATTGTATCACATTGTATTTTTTAATTTATTTAATTTTATTTTTCAATCATTTTGCTTTGGCTTCAGCACAGTAACAATAGGCTATATTTAAATAATAAAAGCCAATTGTATTATTTTGTATTCAGCATGTTGTCTTTATAAACTGCAATATTAAAGGTTGGGTTTAAGGCGTTTAGACATGTAAATGCAGTCAGCGTTAATTACGTCATCAATTACAATTTTTCCCCTGATGAAACGAGACGATAACAAGATTAAAACCGGTTTTGAATGTCAAAACCTATGACAAACATCTATTGACATTTTCGTCAACGAATAAAAACGGGACGAAAATGTTAGAGAGGGATGATTTTTGGAAGAGATCCAGTCAGAACTGATGTCCTGCGTGGTGGATGCACACATTTGAATTGTAACGTGCTTATCAACCCGGCGGGACATAAGTTATCATAATAGCATGTCTCATAAAACTTAAAAAAATGTAAACGTCTGGGAGAAAGAGAAGAGCAGACATATGGAAAAGCGTGACGACAGGGAAAGAGACCTCAATTCAGTCCGGTTTTCTGGGCGCACACACAAACTGAATATAACACACAAACTGAGAACTGAATTGTATGTCTAACCGTGCTTGAATGTAGCAGCGTCAGACTTCGTACTTTAAAAAAAAAAAAAAAAAAAAAAAAATTTATTGCACTTATATTGTAGGATACTCTGATGTTATGTCGTTGTTATTTATAACAATGACAATAAAGAACAAATACAAATACAATACAAATACAAAATACTTCCGCTCTATTTCAGTTCGCTTCTGAGACATCGACATGTCTCTCAGTTTTCCTCCGGCCTGAAAACAGCCGGCCAATCAACGAACAGAGGGCAGGCTGAGAGCCGTGACGTAGACACTAAGCACCGAGTTTAAGATTGTATTTTAGGTTAGGGAAATCGAAAACGACCGCGGATATGTAGACACGGGATGCAATTCGCTCTGTTGTGGAGAATATTCCCGGCATTTGCAAACTGAAGCCCGAACAAGAAGAGTGTTTGTTAAACATTTTGAATGGAGGTGATGTTGTGGCCCTACTCCCGACAGGTTTTGGTAAAAGTTTAATTTATCAAATATTACCGATCGTCAGCGAGAAACTGGGCAGGCCAAAGGCCGGCAAGGCGATAATTGTGATTGTGTCCCCCTTGGTTGCACTCATGGAGGATCAGGTTAAGGAGGCAGCAAAACTCGGTCAGCCATGTTCACTCTGGTATTTCGCTCGATGATTTCGTTTTCGCATCATACATGTGTTTACAGTGGAAGTTCGATGCGGCTGAGCTGGCGAATAACACACGTCATAACCAAACGTTATGTGATTGGCTTACGGGTAACCAATGATTTTATACTTCAGACTCTGCTCTGGCTGTTGCACGTTCATGTGTTTTGTTGGAGGGACGGTGGGATCTTAAGCTTTCAAAGCTAGCTAGTATCTCCACAATTGCCAACCCTACCTTTAAATAGTATAAATATATAGCTGCCTTTATATTCTAGAGGGAGGTCCCTTTATTTATTTGAAGGTCCTTATCTTTAAAAAAGTTTGAAATGCCTAGTCAGACCCAAGATGTGCTGGACAGACATCTTCTTCCTCTTACCAGAAAGAGAAGGACATGGGCTAAATAAAGTGTACATGTTGCC